CCATAGCCATCAAACCCCCATATGCAAAATATGCATGCACCCTATCCAGCCAAAAATGTGTTTTAAAAAATAAACAAAACAAATAATATTAAGATTATATATATATGTATGTATGTATATAAAATATGTAGCAGACAGGATAGCATACAGTAGGGCAGGGATTCGAACCCCAGTCAGGGCACAGTCAATATCCCGCCTGGGTCCTTAGGCGAGGCCCTTAATGCTACCTGCCTACCTCATGGGGCAATGAGAGTTGGAAAAATAAGAGTCACACCAGCTCGGACCTCAACAAGGTCCGCGTCAGGTGTTGAGGAACCAGGGCAACCTGATGAGAAGTGGGCTACTGGAACAATACATTCATGGACAAGAGAGGAGAACAGATAACTATTGGAATGCTACTATACAAGTAACCCCAGTGAGAGGGGTTACATAAGGAGGATGTGGGACCTATGGATACTTCGAAACCCAATATCTACACTAACATCGAAACAACTGGTAGCTCAGTGCTCTAACATCCGCAAGAAGCACCTGCTATCACAAGATTGACGAGGTGAGGTACAACACAAATGCTCCAGTAGGGGTGGGGGGTGGGGGGGGGGGGGGGGGGGCTTGATTCAAGAGCAGCTGACCTGAGATTGAAGATCATAAGCAAGATGAACACCTGGAACTCCCATAAACGGTTACCAAGAGTAAGTGTAGTGCCTTCTGAAAGTCTACTAGAGGATGTGAATGCAGCACTAAGAATAATCCCTACTATGACCATCACTGAGACCAACAAGCTCAGATACAGCACAGCAACCGTGATCCTTGAAATGCTTGGCTATAAGTTCAACAAAGACCATAAGGAGCAGTATCCTCCATGGAAAAAGAGGATGGAGACCAAGATCAAGGCAGCAGGGAGAGAAGTTAGCCAGCTATTGGAATTGCAAAAAGGTGTGATGAAGAAAGGGGTACCTAAGAAGTACAACACACTGTCCATACCTGAGGTCTTAGAGACTGCCAAGCAAAGGCTCACAGCCTTGGCCACCCGGTTGAAGAGGTACACCAGAGAAGTTGAAGCCAGGAGAATAAACCAAATGTTCTCCACTGAGCCATCCAAGGTGTACTCTCAGTGGCAAGATAATAACATCAAGCTGTATGCCAGGAGTGAACAGAGACATCGACTCACTGATCCACACCACTAGGATCTACAGCCAGGACATCAGAATGTCATTCGGACTGGATAAGTGTGGTCGAATGGTAACAAGGAGAGGGAAGTTAATCAGAACTGAGGGGATTGTACTACCAGAAGGCAACATAGCAAATGTTGAGGACAGCTACAAGTAGTGTTAGGTATTTTTAGTCAGTGTCGTGGCTAGAGTGTGATACCGACTAAATTAATTCAGACAAACCATCCCAATTTAAATGATCATTTAATATTACAATTATTCTGAATAGAGTAGTATTTAAACACATAATCTTGAAGGTAGGGAAACAGATAACAGAGATCAGAGAACAGATTCACTCCTCCTGCAATGTGATAGATAAAGCATAAGAAGATTGTCAGAGCACCAGTCAGTCAAGTCATTGGATGTCTCAAGTCGGTTCCCCTGTCAGCCCCAGTTAGTCGTCGTTTCCCCCCGGCCCTCCGAGGCCGGGCTTTAACGGGTTTTGCTGTCTTTATCATGGACCGAGCTGTCTCTACATTCGTTTTACATCTGCTTCCAGTTAGGAATGGACCAACGGTGTGTGAAAATACCTCTTTTTCTTCCTTTTCTACTGAACGTTTATTCCAGTTTGACATATATCCTCAAGGAAACTGATCTGGAAGTACAAACCCACCGACACTAACTTGTGTGGCAATGTAACGTTAGGTTAACTTAGTTCAAGCTAACTTTTCAAATTATTTTAACAGCTTTTCTCTAATGGATGCAAAGCCACTGTTGGAATATTTATGCACCTTTTGTAAACCTTAAAGCGGTTTTTGTAGGTGGAAGCGGACTTCTCTTCGTGGGAAACCATCACCAAGAGTGGTTATGGATACCGGCTATGGAATGGAGCAACCATTAGCCACCTCCTCTACATGGATGACACCAAGCTGTATGCCAGGAGTGAACGAGACATCGACTCACTGATCCACACCACTAGGATCTACAGCCAGGACACTGGAATGTCATTCGGATTGGATAAGTGTGGCCGAATGGTAACGAGGAGAGGGAAGGTAGTCAGAACTAAGGGGATTGTACTACCAGAAGGCAACATAGCAGATGTTGAGGACAGCTACAAGTACC